GTAGTCATTTATTGAGAACAAGTCACTAGGTACATTCCTATAACGATGTCGTCAAAGTGAAACGTAGCCATAGCGCAATATTCTTGAAAAGTATATGCATTAAGAAAAGCTAGAATTCAAAGTATCCCTACACGACTTACTGTAAGTAAACATTCTAACCCTGTTTAGACAAGTATGAGCTTAGACATAAATACATTTTTTCTAATTGTTAATTATTTCACAGGTTGGAGGCTTTGAGAATAATTGAAACATTAGGAGAGCAGTTGAAACTAACGAAATAATCAAAATAGTAAAATGAGTAAACGAGTGTATAAAAATATGTATAAAATAGCGATTTATTAGACGAAAATGAAATAAGGGAACGAGATAAACAATCGAGTAAGAGGAGGCTTCTGAATTCTTCCGTCTATTTAGGACACTGAAATTTCATGTTCGTTATGTTTAGGCCATGAAAATATCAGTAAATCTTAAATAATAGATATATTATACACTCCTGGAAGTGTGACGTAGTGCTTAACGTGTCGAGACAATACATTGTGATATGAAGAAAGACTAGATTTCGAAGAATTACTTACTGATATATTGTGACATGACTCGCCATCTTGAAGGAAGAGTTGGTAGAAAGGAATTCATGATGTGGTCTCACCTAGGTTTTAGGAAGATGATCCGAGGAATTCGTCGCACGATTCAGCAGCCTTCCCCACGCGGCAATACTTCGGTTTCAGGTAAGACCAGATCACGAATTATTTCCTACCAACCCAGGCTCTAATTTCGGCAGAGGCGATAATAAGACTGCAGTCTATCCTGATAAGAATACCCAGTGCACACCATGGTTCTGATAAATTAAAGCAAGATGCAAAAAATATACAGCGCTATGATCTGAGACTTACTGTTCGGCTCGCTCGATGACGACTGGGACACGTACCAATGGACCAAGATGTGGCTGGCTGAGGTCGATAAAACCTATGATAACCCCAATTTGGTCGTTTGGTGATTGGCTTGGTAGTTTAGCGGGGTCGATGACGAGACTAATGGTACGAGCCAAGTTAAAAATTGTCACATTGCGACAAACAAGTAGCCAGGTTGGTGGTTGGTCCGAAATCGCCACCGGGCTGCCAGCAATAGCATGAGGAATGCGTGCAACACTCGAGGAAGGCATCACAGAGTCTACAGAGTGGCCAGTCAGTGGCAAAAAGACCAGCTTAAGATGGAGCTCAAAGTCGAGTTGATAGGAGAGAGGCATCACCTAGTTCAAAAGAGCATAGTGTGGCTTATTAATTTTGACTATTATATGGTAATATGATCCATTACTTTCAAACAGATAGCAGTTAGTGGCTAACCATTTTAAGAGGAATTAATTCATAATTCCATAAGTGGCTTGGTTCAAATAGCATATAGTATAACTATTTATTCTTCCAGAAAAAAGAAAATAAATAAAACAACAATAAGTTTGTTCGGCAATGTTCACAGTAAGTCAAAGTTAGTTAACTAATAACTAGTA